GTTTAATTGAGCCCAACATCTTCTTAATTAATTTTTTTTTCACTTATCCCTAATTTCCTAAAAACATAAATTCCCAAAATCCCCAATTTTCAAATTCACAACATTCAAAACCAGGTTAAAATACAGTCTACAGGCTGCAGGCAACAAGCTCAATTCATAAATCACAAATACATTCATATTATATAAACATAATTTATAAAATATAAATAATAAATCAAACAAATTGACTAAATGAACAAAAACAAAAAACAAAAAGAAAAAGAAACGAGAGAGGACCGAGGAGAGCATTCACCACTGTGAAGCGAAGGCTGCGAAGCTGGAGCTGCAGCAGCTGCTGCCTGCTGGAACTGGAACTGGAACTCGAAGCCTGCAGCCTGAACTGGAACTGAAGCGAAGCTGCTGGTGCTGGAACTGGAGCCTGGTGCAGCCACAGGTAAGCTTCGACGAATCGCCGTTCGTCTCTCCCTCCTCAGCTCCTCTACGGTTTGGGTAATTGGGTTTCAATGAATTGGGAATTTAGGGAGTTTGATCTTGGATTTGGTTATGTTTGTAGTAATGGGTTGCAAATTGGCCATTGGGCCTTATTGTTTAAAAAAAAAAGGCCCAAGAAGCAACAAATGAAGGTTACAACGAAAAAAAAAATGGTTGATCGCCGGCTGCTGCCTTCCCAGCGGACTTCAAGGTCCCGGCAGACCCAGCACGTGCGGCCGCGGGGGCTGGGTCCGCCCCTGATGGTAAAGGAGCCTACTATCATTAGACAAATGTATAATCAAGTAAATTCTACACATAACAGGACTGTATTGATTATGATGAACATTTTTTTTTTATTTAAAGTTTTGAGCATAACATGTGTCAATAGAAGAAAATAATGTACCGGCCCTGAACCACTATTAGAAAGATACTAATATGTGCAAAGAGGAAATATAGAAAAAACTCACTTTTAGATTACTTGACTTGGTGAGATGGTGGGGAGTGGAGAGTTATTTATAACAGTAAATGGGTCGTGGGTTGTCAATCATTGATACTTTAGCGCATTCATGCATACCAGGCTATTTAGGTTTGAGCACGTTCTTTGTTTTCATCGCTTTCCACTAACTTCATCTGCTTGTCTCAGTGCTGCTAGTGTTTCTTTTTTATTTATTTTTTACTCAACTTGTTCGTCTTGTTTTTGAGTCTCAAACTTCTATAAATTTTAAAGGAAGATAGCAAAATGGAAACATGAGAGGCTTGGTTGAGGCGTCATGGTCAAACGATTTCAGGATTATCAGATTGATGCTCTCAAGTCAGCATTCAAACAATCCCAACACTTGACGAAAAATAAGAAGATCGAACTGGTGACTGCTACAGGACTGGATGTGGAGCAAATTACTAGCTGGTTCAACAGGAATCGAGCCCAAAAGCGTGCTAGGAAGTCGATAGGGGACTTGGAGCTAACCAAGGCCGAGCTTCATCAAGCGCTGCAAACACTCCGCGAAGGCCAAGAAAGGGAAGCAGGGCTCCAAAAAGAGCTTCAAGCAAGAAAGAAGAAGGAAGCTGAGCTAAGAGCTGAAAATCAGGATTTGAAGCATCAACTGGCAATAGTTGGAGGTGAATCAGGTGATTCACAGTTTGATCACTTCTTGTGGTCTTCGCATGGCCCAGGTTCAACTCAGAGCAATAATCTTCCTAGGTCCTAGCTCTTTTATTTTGGGAAGGTAAAAACCATTGTTGGTAACTCAACATATACCCAAGTTTCATGTTATCAAAATTTTATTTGTTTCAAAATGGTTTTTGTTTCAGTTTAGTCATACTCTGAAAATTCATTTGATTTTCTAATGGAATGTTCGACGTGGAAGAGCTCGATGTTGATGCCACATCAGATTGCCATCTTTCACGTTGATCAATCTGTTGGAAAACTCATGGATTTTCACTGATCAAACTAAAACAAAAGTCAAACTTTCATGATCATTTGAAACAAAATGAAGTTCGGCGACTAGCTTAAAACTTTGCTATTAATCGTGTGAATGAAAGTGTTTTTTTACCCATTTTGGGGGAGGTTTTGAGGCCAGACAGGTGGGAGAATATTACTTCCTTTCAGGATATGATGTCTTGTACCTGAAAAGCATATAATTGATATTGTATTTGTTGTGTAATTTGGAAAGTATTAAAGATTCACGGGCTGCCATTTTTATTTATTTTTTTAACAATCATGCTTGGTGTACAAAGTTGGATGGACAGATTGAACAACTTGTTTTTTTGCCAACTCATACATTGTCAACAATGTTATCATTCAATATCGTACATATAGCTTAATCCTTTTTTTAATGTTGTCTCGTCTTTCTGATTGAAATATAGTGATGACTTCAAGGTTTTGACACATTGGATCACGTCAAAGGTATAACCATGATATCATGGTCTAGCATTGGAAACGACACCAATTGTCAAGGTCTCGGGGTAGTAGTGGCGTCATGAATGGTGAAAGTGTCGTTCGACAATTTATCCTTTTTAATTCTTTAATAATGTCCAATATTATCGAATATTCCTGCCAGCAATTTTTTTTTACCATATATGAGAGCTGCAATGCTATACGAGACATGCAAACTTTGGTTATACGCACAAGTACAAATTTGATGGGAAATATTTGGCTTTGTGTAGAAAAAATTAATATAATGTGTTTACTTGATTTTATTTATTAGAAAGAAATTTCAAAAATAAAAGCTTTTAATACTTAAATTAAATACAACTTGATTGGACAATTAGATATTCCGAAAACTAGCGTGCATTTGAAGTGAGGCGCAATTGTTGAAAATAACGTTCCAGTTTCATTCTGTACTTCAATATCTGAAGGGGCATCCTTAGATTAAGCTGTGTCATATTTGGTACCTCTTAAGGAGAATAAAATTTTCAATGAATACATCTGCACAATAGTTTTCAGTTTATATTGTGTTTCTTCTTTTTCAGTTTCATCTATTCTTTCAGATTAATGTCACCTCCATATACACAGAGATTGTGTCGAAATATTTATAAAATTAACAGTAATTAGTATCTGGTGTGGTGAAAACCTGATAGCCGGCCCATTTGCTGCATTGTTAATAAAATTAAAAAAATGTCTCGTCTTTGAAAATTTGGCTACAGAATGTAATCTTTCTTATATTTCCTATACAAAGCCAGATTGAGTTGTTTCAAGATTCAATATCCAGGGTGTAAATTACAGAAAAAAAAAGAGAGGGTAAAAACAGCTGTGAAAAAGGAACAAGATTGCAACATCTTGAAAAATGTACTTTTTATCAGCAGTACTTCTGTTGGGTTGATTTTGAATCAGAGAGTTTTGGGGTAATTTCATCATTATGCAACAATATGTTTCATTGCCAAATATTTTCTTTGGAAGTCTTAGTTGAGTAGTTTTTATAGTTTATTTTTCAACTTTTCAAAAACTCGAATTTATTTTGCATAGAATAGTAATGTCTTGTAGGCTAGACCTCGGTTTTGGCTGTAGTCCAATCAATCTAAAATTTTGGACGCAGATGCGAATGTTAATATGGACAAATACTACTAATCTAAATCAAATATAGATCCGATCTTAGCACAACCTCCCAAATGTTTGCAGTCCTTGGAATGTTCACCTCCTTGAAAACGGTAGGATAAAACCAATCATCTTTCCTCTCAGCCAGCTATAAGAAGAGAACAGACATGTCCAACACTCGAAAACTCACAAATGCAGTCGACACTTTTGCAAGTCCGCGACATTTCATTACGGAGTTTATGCCACGTATCTCAATCTTTTGCCTTTGCAATTAGTGGAAAGAACATAATCATCGCTTCCGTCTATTTTTCTGTATATGGTAATGTTTTTATTTTTATTTTTTAAATTTATACGTTATATTCACTACAACAAAAACAGCCTACGGCAACCTTTGTACGTGTGTTGCAAATCGAGGTGTTGTCGTAGAGTAGAGAGATACGGCAACGTTCAAAAAACGTTGCCGAAAGTCTACGACAATGTTTGGCAAA